CCCCCCCCCCCCCCCCTCAAAAAGGTTAGTAGATTACTGATGTGGGATTCACCCTCAGCCACAGGAACCGAGTCTCTTAAACCACCAGTACCTTCCTCAGCTCTCGATGCCGAGCCTAAAATCGTTCTTCGCACCCAAAATAATCGAACCGCCGGGGGCCTCTGTTTGGCTGGTGCCACCAGCCATTTCGGTCCCGTAGTACCAAACCCCGCTTGGCTCCCGCATATACCGGCGCATATTTTATTTTTTCAAGCGGGGGAAGGTACCGGTGGTTTAACCCCACTGAGCAGCTGACTCTGTTTAAAAAGAAAAGAAAAAAAAGAGAAAAAAAAAGAAGAAGATATCCACCCCACTCCTGCAGGGCTGTAGTGTCCAATGCACACACACCACACACAACACCACAGACACGGCAATCCACGCACACTCAGTTCCAACGGCACGCGACGCACCACTGCTACTTAACCCGGTCACACGCACGGGCCATCTACCCGCGGGTTCTACGGGGAGCCTTCACAGTAGATTACTCATACGGTAAAAAAAAAAAAGAAAAAGAAAAAAAAATCACAGTAGATTACTGATTCGGTAAAAGAAAAAGAAAAAAAAAAGAAGGATATGTTTACAAGGAAGGGTGTACTATGCGGGTGTAGCACTTATGGGGTGTACTATTCATGTTATTAGCAGTTACACCCCCCCAAAAAAACTTTTTGCCTTGGGGGAGGGGGGGGGGTGTACATGGGGGGTGCCATTCAGGATATTAGCAGTTACAACACCCCCCTCCAACAAGATTTGAACCATGTCTACGATCCGGACGTCCGGAATTCCGAAATGTCCGGAATTCCGGACCGAAAACTACCGGACACCGGTCCGGTTCCATGTTCGGAAATGTCCGGGTCCGGGTCCGGCGTAGCCATGATTTGAACTCATGGTCTGTTTACATGGGTGTATTATTCAGCGACATGGGGTTGTGAACAAGCCAAGCAGGCTCAGAAGCTTTTTGGATGCGTAAGGGGGAGGGGGAGGCAAAAAAAAAAAAAAAAAAGGCGTATTTATCTAGGCTACCAGCCGGACTGCCCAGGTCCACCTTATTTGCTGTCTCTTATACACATCTAGATGTGTATAAGAGACAGGTGCAGTGCTGTGATCCCCGTCTGCTGCAGTTTGACTTTGGTAATGTTTGACTTTTGTACTTTGTGATGTTTGACTTTTGTACTTTGTGATGTTTGACTTTGGTAATGTTTGACTTTTGTACTTTGTGATGTTTGACTGTAGTGCAGTGCATAGAAGTTGGGTGTGTGAACTCGTGAAGTCTCTCATCTTTGTCCACCGGTCCCTTTCCCTTTTTTTTTTTTTTTTTTTTTCCTCCTCGAACCAAAAAAATTGGACCATTTCTCGATTTATAGTATTTTATAGTAAATTTATACGTATCATCCTTGCGCAGAGGCCTTGCTAATCTTCTCTCTCTCTCTCTCTCTCTCTCTCTCTCTCTCTCTCTCTCTCTCTCTCTCTCTCGCTCTCTCTCTCTCTCTCTATCTATCTCTCTATCGTTCCCATTTTTTTAACGTATCTGACAGCGCGATTACATCCATAAATGAGTAAAAAAGTCCTCTTCTGAGTATGCCCCTACTGACAGTCTGACTGCATTCTGCAGCAGGGTTTGACTGGATGCATGGTACGGCTACGGTCTTCCTCCAAACAACGCACCCTGATTATGAATGTATACGAGCTATGTTTGCGGCCCGATACTGTCATCATGAGCGTGCACTTTTTTTTTTCTTCTGGTGAAGGCGGTATGTCCTGACACATCTGTACCGTTCCATTACAGGCTGGCGTGCATTGCCGGTTGATTCGTGTTCTTCGTCTTCCGCTTTTTCTTTTTTTCTTTTTTTTTTTGCAGGTCAATTCCGCATTGATGCACCGAGTGTGTGAAGTTTGACTGCATAAAGTTTGACCGAATAGAATTTCGTTATGTTTGAGTCTGACTGTGCAAAGTTTGACTGTGCAAAGTTTGACTGTGTGGAGTTGAATGTGTGAAGTTTGACTTCAGTGTAAAGTCAAACTGCAGACAGTCGACTCCACACAGTCAAACTTTACACAGTCAGACTCCACGTCATGAAATTCTATACGGTCAAACTTTATGCAGTCAAACTTCAGACAGTCGATCAGCACGTCCAACTGCAGCTATGTACAGATTCCCTGTATGTTGTTTTTTCCCGCATGGAGGTAGATTGACCCTGTGGAGTGCACAACTTCGTGGAGGTAGATTTTATGTTGCTGACCGCTGCGAGCTTTGACTTTTTAAAGTTTTTTTTTGTCTTTTTTTAATATTTTGACTGCATCGAGATACGGAGTGACTCTGTGCAGGAGGCTAACTGGAATATACTCTTTAAGTCAAAACTTTGTGCCGTTTATTAAAAAAAAAAAAAAAAAAAAAAAAAAAAACTCTGTGCCGTTTGACAGCATGGAGGTTGCGTTTGTGTGTACTGCTGCGTGAATTTCCACTGCGGCTGCCTAGAGGTTGACTTCATGCAGTTTGATTTTATCCAGTTTGACTTTATATAGTTTGACTTTTTTAATGCAGTTTGACTTTTTTTAATGCAGTTGACTTCATGCGTGAATCCTGGTACCTGTCCCGACAGGGCAGTTATTTGGACAGGGTATTATTGGCCCACTGGGTTACCTACTGGACCGAGCGACGAATCGGAGCCAGTACTTGTCGGGCCGGTACTCTCTCTCTCTC